AGCGGGCCCGAGGCTCTCCGTGAGAGCCTTACGGGCCACAACAAAACAGAATTGCTTTTATAAATAAAAACAGGGTCTTCTGAACCAGATGACAGATCCATTAACAACAACATTATGTGGCTTAGAATAAACTTACACAGCAAACTCCAAACTTCAGGCGCAAGGAGGAGCTTGGTTTTTTACGGTACAAGTTGGAGGTCAAATGCAAAATCATTTCCTGTTCATTGTAATAACCTGGACTGTTCACTCTCTTAATAGTAAGTAAGGCCAGGTTAAACTAACCATACCTAAACCACACTATTTTCCTCGGTAGCCATAGACTGCAGGAGAAAAGTGAATGAGAGACTCAGGGCTGGAGCCCATCTGATTCCCAAAAGCCACCTCCAGCACAGAGCAGAGCAGCACTGTGGATGACCTAAGCCTTGTTGGCTGGCAAAGTTTCCAAGATGCTAATGCCACCTTGAAATTGCTGGGATTTAAGACTGGCCAGACTATGCTCTTTCTCCGTTTGGTCCAGAGAGCCAATACACAGCCCCTGTATGCCAAACTCCCTATGGTGATGGCATCTTCTCTGTGCTTGGGTGTTCTTTTCAACCTGAAATGGCTGACAATAGAGCAATGCCCAGTGACAAGGTGGTTCTTACTGCAACCCACAGTTGTATAACCTCCCCACAGAGAACATGACTGAATTCAGTTGGATTTGGCTTGTGTTTGATTCCTTAGCCATGTAAGTCAATGAACACTGCCCCACATAAGGAGCAATAAGCCTGTGAATAAACATTTGAAAGATGAGGATCTTATTTTATGGGGTACTTCAGACTTGTTACAGGATTGTAATCTGCTCTGTTATAGAATGTAAGCCTCAATTGGTACCACTTTACATGTTTAAAGTCTAAGTGCTATATAATACTAGTGGACAGTCAACCATTAATAGAATAAAACCCAAATAGATAAATTTTAAAATATTCTTCAAGTGAAGCTGAAGAAGGTGACATACATTCTGCAGTATCACTGAGACTAGGAAGCCAGCAATCATATATGAGAGCAGGGTCAGCTGATCTTCTCTAAAGGACAAAAGATCTAGAAAAAAATCAGATTTGGTTGTCAGTGTTTGAAAAATGAGGTCTTAAAAAAAAACTAGTACAGGAAAATGCTGTATATACCAGGAGAAGCAACTGCATGTGTGAATTTGGTCAGCATATCCAAGGTTTTCAAGACCAACAGATACTTGGATAGATGCTTTAGTTACACTGTCCATGGGCTTCAAAAGAAGCAGAGAAAGTAATTTTTTTTTAACATTGGAGAAATAATTACTTGAATCATTCTGTAAGTCAGTGGAGAAATGCTTTTGTGATTGAAGAAGTTAGCCACACTAGTTAATAGGACTAGTTTTGTGACACATGCATAAATGTAAGTATTTCTTCCCTGAAACATGGAATTGATAGGGTTTCAATCTGAAGTCTGCTGAAAAGCTTTCTTTTTCACTGCAGGGTCATCTTTTGGTTATTGGGTTAGAAGAAGAAGATTAGAATTTTAAGTAACTAATCTATATAGTTGCTAATCTATATAGTGCAAGAAAGACACAAATGCCTTTTGTTTAATCTCAGTCAATTCATACTGGTAATTATAGGTTTAAAATTAAAGCTTTATATGCATATGACTACAGCTAGGATAAATTCACAAGACTTCATAGAATAAAGTAAAAAAAAACCAAACAAACCAACCTGCTGAAGAGTACCCTGCCCCTATATACTCATAGGAAAAATATATAGACTTCTACCACCCAATTCATTAAGTGAGAGGAGGAAACAGAGATACATAAATAATATTGTCATATGAGTGGGCATTTAAGTATCTTTGACTTTACAAGATCATAGGAATATACTTCACTTTTCCAATCTATTATCTTTCCAGGAAACACTACAAAAATCAAACATGTCTTGGGCAGAACCCAACAGAAATAGCATTTTCTATTATTTTTGGTATTGCCTCAGTAATACCTAAGCAACCAACTGTGGCTCTACTTTCTGTCAATTTACTTGAAAATAGACAAAATACAAATTAAATTATAATAACCATGTAGCCATATGCCCTGTGTGAAGTACAGCAAGAATTATAGATGGGAGAGGAAAAAAAGAAAGGCAAAAATCCTAGCCTCTCTCATCAGTAAAGATTGCTCGAAAAATCTACGTTAGTAGTACTTCTACTAAACTGTGGTCTGTTAATATTTGGAAGAAGGAATGAAACAATAAAAGGCTCTAGGAAACATAACAAATGATATTGTAAGTGGTCCTTATCTTTCAAAGGATTATTCTCTTTTGGAGAATAATGACCTCCTCTAAGTGGAAGAGTATCTCTTGCTTCAGCAAGATTGAATCAGGTCTTAAGAAATTACTGTAGGAAACAGAGCTACTTAGGGAGAATCTTAGGTAGACAGAAAAGACTGTATGGCAGGTGTTTGTTTTTTTTTTTTCAATTTTTTAATACATTATTTACTCTGGTCATCTGGTCAAACTCTAGTCTAGTTAATTATCCATGCCTCTAATTATGCCAACTAGATACTGTGTATTTCTTATTTTGTACATTCTAAGTATTGCATAGTATTGCTTCCTCAGGTAATTGCTTTGTTCACCCCCGATACAGCTGCATTTAGATGGTAAGTCTATCTACAAAATAGTTTCAGCATAGACATTTGAAAAACAAGAATTTTTCTTCTGTGTAGAAGTTGCTACAGGATTTTTTTTTAACATGTAAAAAGTTGAAAAGTACTTGGAAATACTGAGTTGTTCTACTATGCCACTATGATAGCTTAAAGGTAAGAAGTGAAAAAGATTTGTCCAGAACTTCTGGCTGTGATGAAGGAGAGATGACAGGATGTACTGTGTGAAAGGCTGACAAGAAATATTTCAGGGCAGTTACCTGCAGAACTGGACAAGTTTTTGGAAATACTTAATGTAGGGTGTTGATTTAGTATTACCAAAAGATTCTGAATAGACTTACTTTTGTGATACTAAGTCTTTGGAAGTATGTACATTGCACATTGTAATTTTAAGGCTCAAATATACACAAACACTTCTTCCATCACAGCACAATGCTCAGAAAGGTTTAGATTGAAGGACTGCATCCATTGTCTTTGTGAAGAAAAATTAACTGATAGCTGTGGAGTCTTCAATTCCTGTGACACAGTAGTTCTCAGTTTCATACAGTGAGCTAGCTGATTAATTACAGCTACTACTAACCTTACAGAGTACAGAGAGTCTGAAAAAATACAAGCCAGGCTATCCTCAGTGTATTGCAAAGCATCCAGAATCTCAGTGCAGCGTTAGCACAATCTCTTAGCAAAATAGCCCATTTGTGAATTTAAAGCTAAGAATGCCTCAAAGACTTCCAAAATACTGAGATGCCTCTAGCTTGGCCTTGAGGCGCTGTGAACGCTGACATGGCCTAAAGCAAACTGGCATGAAATTAAAGTGTGGCTTTTATGAATATATGCTTTCATCTAATTCTAATTCTGGTGCTAGAGACAACCGGTATGATACAGTTTCTCCCCCACCCCCACCCTCTACAGATTCTAGTACTCTGACAGATTAATTTTTAATGTAATTCATTTGTAAGTATCTTCATTTTAGATCTCTTTTTGTGATTTCTTTTTAAAAAAACAAGCAGCCCTAGAACTATTTGTGAGCAGCACAGCAGTTTGATATAGATACTGCAAAGTTCAGTACTGCCTTGTCAGAGAAGTCAGTGAAGAATTCTGTAGGTATCTAAGCAGTTTTTCATGACACTGAGTTTCTCCATGACTTCTCCATCTTTTCTCTACATGTGAGCCCTTACCTTTGTGTCATACGGTCATGAAATTTTTTTTTTTAAATTACCTTTTCATTTATGATGAGCCAAATCATATTCTTTTTCTTTTGTAAGTCACACTGAAGTCAGTGGCACTAGTTACATTAAAAAAGCTATTATGATTTTAAACATAATCTTCTAAATTATTACTGGTCAGTTGGACATGATACTGTTCACAGTCCTTAGAACTGAAATATTTCTAAGCATCTTGAAACAGATCAGTGAAACGAAGTATAAGATCTGTTTGGCATGTGAAAAGTAAGAAGGGCAAATGACTTAATCATTGGAGAAAGAGAAGGTAAGAAACCAAACTCAGGAGATTTTAGGATTCCTTAAGCCTTAGATACAACATGGCATTTCTTTCCCTGATGAAGTTAGTTCTGACAGCTGAGAGCTCGTCTTTTTTCTTTTGGATCTCGCAGTTATCAGTTCTGTCCAAGGTTTTGTTTGGGTTTTCTTGTTTGTTTGTTATAATTTCTAGATGTATAGGCATATCCTCGTTTCTTTCTCTATTCTGCAAGAGGCTCTGAAAAATTCAGAAGTCACTTCTAAGTACATTACATAGTTGACCGTTACATTTGGCCATGTATTCCTGTTTTTAACAGGCATATGTAAGCATTTACACCAAATTTGTGTTGTTGGTTTTTTTTTTATACTTCTGAATAATTACATAGTCTTTGAAAAAAATTTTCATTGAGCGGTTAATACTACAGAATAATTGTTTCCTTGGTCTCAGTCTACCTTCAGCTTTGCACACTGGTGTGCTTATCACATAGGAGTTATATAGGCCTCATTAAAAGGGGAAAG